CACACACACACACACACACACACACACACACACACACACACACACACTCTCTCTCACATCTAGCCCATGTCATTCAATTGTCAGTTTCTTTGACATAAACCGCATCTTCTCCACATGGGCTTCACGTGGTCTGGAGATGGGTGGGGGAAACAATCAGGTTTCTTCAGGCTGAGGAGGACTTGCTCAGGCCGATTCCAAACATTGTGCTCGTTCAATGCGTAGAAATGATTTGCATGATGGCATGCCGTGATCAGAAGTCATGCATGAGAACCATACACCACAGGACACTACCAATCCTGTCCCCTGCACTGGGTCAGCCTTCGGACAGGACCCAGCCCTGCACCGTTCACTGTATTTGGAGAAAAAAATGGTAAGAGTTCCATACCCGCTGCAATTCCTTATGAATTCTTAGAAGTCTTTCATACACCTTCTGGGTAGGGAAACATAACCAACCAATTGACCACCACCACCAACAACAAAAAAACAAACCCAGCCCAACAAGCAGATGGATCCGTTGTGTGTATATGTTTAACAGACATCTCTAACATACAGCCATTGTTGCACATTTTGAAAGATGAACTACTTAATGCTGCTCTGTGTCCCTTCCATGGGGAAACTTTGATCTCGAATGGCTTGTATTAATAATGTCACTGTAAAACCAAATCCTAGGGCTAAAAACAAAAAATCAAAAAAAAAGTTCATTTGTATTGCAATATTTATGATGATTGTTTAGCCTTCATACTGGAGAACTGACACTTATTTGGGGAGAGATAAAAGTGCTGTTCAAAGTGGCACGTTATCTCTAGGGGGCAGTTTGGGGAACTGAAAGCAAACTTTCAGTTGGTCAGGGGTTGGGGTGCTCACTTCATTCAGTGTCCGGTCCTTCTGCACTGTGGCTTTCTCCGGGCTCGGGTCCCACTGGAGAGGGGTGCAGATCTCCCCAGCGGGCCTCTCCCCTCTACAGAGGGGTTGTGGCGAGCTCACGCACTGCATGGTTCCTCTTTGCCTCCATCTCACTTTTCCACCAAGCGGGGCTCCCCTTACCTACAGAGCTGGGTGAGGGCAGCAGCACTGGGAGCTGTGGCCGTGGTTTCTTTCGTGTGTTAGAGAATAAATAGTCACTGCTGGGCCCCCAGGTAGAGACGGAGCCGCCTCTGAACCAAGCCCACTTGGTTTCTTTATTGCACTGATTCTCATGAGAAAGCGATTTACTCTGAATTCTTAACACGTCCCAGCTTCTGCCGGCACAGTTCCCTCTCAGCCAGTTGTGCTGCTTAGCGGCCTGCCCGTTGTCCTTGGAGGGTGGCTTTGCGGGGAGCACCGTGTCTTCCGTTCCATCTCCCGCTCTAGGGAAGACCGTTTTTAGTCCAGGGGTTTCTCATCAGATGACTAGAGCTCAAAACCAAGATGCTGCAGTTGAATGTGTCAGGAAGTCTATACAAGGAATGAGGAGAGACTTGAGCATGCAAACCAAATCAAAACAAATTCTTCCTGAACCATAAAACCGAGGGGGACTAAAAGCACCCCATAATCAGATACACCAACCTGCCCCGCAATAGAAGCACTTTGGTGTAATTGTACCATCCACCTGACTAGTTTTGCGTAGAACAAACCACGGCAAGGCAGTAAACAGAGCTTTCTATCTTGTCGGACCTTTAGAAACTCTGCCCAGCTCTCGTCAGCCTGCTTCTGCGGCCTCCTCCGTAGAACTTTTATACTACACCTGACACCAGGTTGGAAAAGCATTTCTCTCAGTGACCCTGCTAACTGCTAGGACGAATGTATAGTAACATGTACAGGCTACATCGTAAACAGCACAAAACAGAAGCTGACAAGTGTGGCTATTCTTTTTAAGAGAATTATAAATACTGTAATATATCATTTTATTTTATTGGCATGCCTTTTTGTAAATACAAATTATTAACTTATTAAATAGGAAATGGCTTCTGGCTTATGCCATTGTCATGTTTATTTTTATTTTTTATACTTTTCTTTCTTCTTAGAACTTAGATGCTGTCAGCCAATGTACATCCCCAAACCAGACAGACAGACAAAAAATTTTTTATTGCTAATGGTCTTTTCCAAAACAACAAAAAAATATATATTTTTGTTCCAATGTGCAATAAATTCTAACCACTTCTATGCAAGATTTGGCTAAACTTCATAATTGTTCTTAGGTCTTGAGATGGGCAACAGAGCTATAAGATCCCGCTCGGTACCCCCCAAGTGCTCATGCTAGTGATGTCATTAAGCTACTAGAGCATATTAATGAGATTTTTCTAAGATCTGACCTTTTCCCTCCCACCCCCCGGACCCCCAACAGCTATCTCCTCAGTAACACACACATGGGCCTTGGTATCTGACCCCCATCAGCCAGCTTCATAGGGAAGAAGCCACCCCCACTCTATTTGATGTTTCCAATTTTTTTTTTAACTTTTCCTACCTTCTTTTCCCCTCACCCACCATCCCTCCACCCGCTCGCTCGCTCACTCTCTCACTCACCCGCCCTGCTCCACACTTCTTTGGTAGTAAATGACACCATCACCAGCAGTTTACACCCGCAGTTAACAGGCATTGAACTGAAAGAGTCAGTGAGGACGTTTTTGTACGCCTTCACTGAGTGGGTAAGTGGCAAGGCTTTGCCAAATATTAACAAAGCCAACAGCAACCACAGTATCACTGCACATATATATATAGAGATCTATAAATATAATATAAATATTTATTTTTTGTAGCCAGGTCCTTGGTGCAGTATTTATACTCCACAATCCACCTTTAAAAAAAGGACAAAAAAGCAAAAAGACATGTGTGATGCTGTTAATTTAAAATGCAGGGCCAAAGCCACTGAGCGGCCGCTGACACGGTTGCTAGTTTGTGTGTGAAAAACACTTTCCCCTCTTCTTTCCTTAACCTCCTTGTTGCTTAGGCTGAGGAGACTCCATAATTTAAAGCAGAGGGTGAGAGCAGCAAAAACGTCCCGAGTCAACGTGACCTACTCCCACTCGCTCTAAATGAGCCACTTTTGGCGCCAGAAGTTGACTGGGGAGAAATTAACAGAAGTTCCCAGTCAGAGCCCCTGGAACGACAGTGCCCAAAGTTCTTTTCTTTTCCGCCGCAACCAATGTAAACTTGTAAAAGACCACTAGTGAAGATTAGTGTGTTAGTGAATGCATGGAGGCCAACACTGCTCTAAATGAGACATGATTAAAAAAAAAAAAAAAAAAAGTACATCACTACTTTAAGCCAAAAGGAAACAAAATAAAAATGACCCTTTTTACTGTACAAGGGAAGCCTGTCTTGGTGTCCGTTTGTTGCTTGACTACCCCAATTCTTGAGTCCTGGGAGGGGTCTGGGAATCGGGACCTTAGCACATTTGGGAAAAGGCGGGGAACAGAAGGGAGAGAGATCAGGGTCTCTCGCAAAGTTCTGGCTGAGAAGTAGAGATTGGAGAGCAAAGCAAGGTCCCGCCCACCACCACCTCCCCCCTACCCAGATCCCCCCCACTCACCCATTGCATGTGGCGTTCTTCCCCCTCCCGGGCCAGTGCTTCCAGGCCCATGAAACCCCTTCTTCACCAGTCCGCCTGGCGGAGCCCCCCGAGATGACGTCAGCCAACCCAGCCGGGCTGGCTTCACTTCTGCCTTTTTCACCAGTATGTTCAAACAAACAAACAAACAAACAAACTATCCTAATGCCCCAAAGCTCGGGCGAGCCCCATGCCCAGCAGTCTCCACTCTCTAGCTAATGCTGGGCCCTGCCCTCCATCACCCCAACACATACACCAGCAGACTACGGCTGGTCTCGTTCACCTTCGTGCAGGGGAGAGGGGCACCGCTCCCCTCCCTCACCCTGCCCTGCTTTGGGGACATCCCTCTCTAGGCCATGTCTCCCCGTCCAGGAACACTCTCAGGAGGATTATGAAGTGCCCACTCTGGTCCGCTCCAGTAGCTCCACTCTGGAGAGAGATGGCTGGTAGGTCAGTCCCCATCCTCCTCCCCTCGGCCCCAGCCTCCAGGCCTGCTGTGGAGGTGAGTTGCCATGGGTTATGGCTTTGTGACTTGAGTCCTGGGCATCTTCTGTAACGATGCCTCTTTCTTTTCTCAGATGTTGCCCAAAGTTTTGCAAAAAGCTTCGTTCATTTTCAGGTACCCCCACCCCCTAAAGAATCGGCTGCAACTAGCCAGCCAGGGGGGCATCAGGAGAGAAGAGGAAATCTGGGTCGGGAGGGGTCCAAGGTGTGCCCAGGGTCTGTGCTGTGGCTCAGCTCTGTGCTTTCTTGGATTCCCTTTCTGAGATTACCAAGATTTCCTCCACGAAAGTGCTCCTGAGGCACCCCCTGCCCCTGCTCCCCACTGCTGTTTGCTGTACATAGAGGCTAAGTGGGGTGGGGTGGGCGGGTGTGCACGTGTGGTGTGTGTGTGTGTGAAGAATGTATATAGGTAAAGGGGAGCGTGGTCCAGTGGTTCCAGAAAAGGGACAGAACTGCTGTGTTCCATCCCCAGCTCAACCACTGGCTCGCTGTGTGGCCTTGGGCAAGTCACTTAACCTCTCTGTGCCTCAGTTTCCTCATCTGTAAAATGGGGATAATAATACTGACCTACCTCACAGGGGTGTTGTGAGGCTTTAACTAAATGTTTTGTAAAGTGTTTTGAGATACAGAGGCAAAGGCACTAGGGAAGGGCAAAGTATTATTTGGACTTAAGGAAGACGAAATGGTACCATAAATGCTGCTATTCTGAGAGCCATTTTAAACTGCACTGCTCCAACCACCCCCGCTTCTCATCACCAGGACAGC